GTCCCCTGGGCCATCTCGGGGGAGGGTGTCTGCCGGGCCGTCTCGGGGGAGGGTGTCCCCCGGGCCGTCTCGGGGGAGGGTGTCCCCTGGGCCATCTCGGGGAAGGGTGTCCCCCGGGCCATCTCGGGGGAGGGTGTCTGCCGGGCCGTCTCGGGGGAGGGTGTCCCCCGGGCCGTCTCGGGGGAGGGTGTCCCCTGGGCCATCTCGGGGGAGGGTGTCTGCCGGGCCGTCTCGGGGGAGGGTGTCCCCTGGACCGTCTCGGGGAAGGGTGTCCCCTGGGCCATCTCGGGGGAGGGTGTCCCCCGGGCCGTCTCGGGGGAGGGTGTCCCCTGGACCGTCTCGGGGGAGGGTGTCTGCCGGGCCGTCTCGGGGGAGGGTGTCCCCCGGGCCATCTCGGGGGAGGGTGTCCCCTGGACCGTCTCGGGGAAGGGTGTCCCCCGGGCCATCCCGGGGGAGGGTGTCCCCTGGACCGTCTCGGGGGAGGGTGTCCCCTGGGCCATCTCGGGGGAGGGTGTCCCCCGGGCCATCTCGGGGGAGGGTGTCCCCTGGACCGTCTCGGGGGAGGGTGTCCCCTGGACCGTCTCGGGGGAGGGTGTCCCCTGGGCCATCTCGGGGAAGGGTGTCCCCCGGGCCGTCTCGGGGGAGGGTGTCCCCTGGGCCATCTCGGGGGAGAGTGTCCCCTGGACCGTCTCGGGGGAGGGTGTCTGCCGGGCCGTCTCGGGGGAGGGTGTCCCCTGGACCGTCTCGGGGGAGGGTGTCCCCTGGACCGTCTCGGGGGAGGGTGTCCCCTGGACCGTCTCGGGGGAGGGTGTCTGCCGGGCCGTCTCGGGGGAGGGTGTCCCCCGGGCCATCTCGGGGGAGGGTGTCCCCTGGACCGTCTCGGGGAAGGGTGTCCCCCGGGCCATCCCGGGGGAGGGTGTCCCCTGGACCGTCTCGGGGGAGGGTGTCCCCTGGGCCATCTCGGGGGAGGGTGTCCCCTGGACCGTCTCGGGGGAGGGTGTCCCCCGGGCCGTCTCGGGGGAGGGGTGTCCCCCGGGCCATCTCGGGGGAGGGTGTCCCCTGGACCGTCTCGGGGGAGGGTGTCTGCCGGGCCGTCTCGGGGGAGGGTGTCCCCTGGGCCATCTCGGGGGAGGGTGTCCCCTGGACCGTCTCGGGGAAGGGTGTCCCCCGGGCCATCTCGGGGGAGGGTGTCTGCCGGGCCGTCTCGGGGGAGGGTGTCCCCTGGGCCATCTCGGGGGAGGGTGTCCCCTGGGCCGTCTCGGGGGAGGGTGTCCCCCGGGCCATCTCGGGGGAGGGTGTCTGCCGGGCCGTCTCGGGGAAGGGTGTCCCCCGGGCCATCTCGGGGGAGGGTGTCTGCCGGGCCATCTCGGGGGAGGGTGTCCCCCGGGCCATCTCGGGGGAGGGTGTCCCCCGGGCCGTCTCGGGGGAGGGTGTCCCCCGGGCCATCTCGGGGGAGGGTGTCCCCCGGGCCGTCTCGGGGGAGGGTGTCCCCCGGGCCGTCTCGGGGGAGGGTGTCTGCCGGGCCGTCTCGGGGGAGGGTGTCTGCCGGGGCCGTCTCGGGGGTGGGTGTCCCCTGGACCGTCTCGGGGAAGGGTGTCCCCCGGGCCATCTCGGGGGAGGGTGTCCTGCCTGACCGTCTCGGGGGAGGGTGTCCCCTGGACCGTCTCGGGGGAGGGTGTCTGCCGGGCCATCTCGGGGGAGGGTGTCCCCCGGGCCGTCTCGGGGGAGGGTGTCCCCTGGACCGTCTCGGGGAAGGGTGTCCCCCGGGCCATCTCGGGGGAGGGTGTCTGCCGGGCCGTCTCGGGGGAGGGTGTCCCCCGGGCCGTCTCGGGGGAGGGTGTCTGCCGGGCCGTCTCGGGGGAGGGTGTCCCCCGGGCCGTCTCGGGGGAGGGTGTCTGCCGGGCCGTCTCGGGGGAGGGTGTCCCCTGGACCGTCTCGGGGGAGGGTGTACCCCGGGCCGTCTCGGGGGAGGGTGTACCCCGGGCCGTCTCGGGGGAGGGGTGTCTGCCGGGCCGTCTCGGGGGAGGGCGTCCCCCGGGCCGTCTCGGGGGGAGGGTGTACCCCGGGCCGTCTCGGGGGAGGGTGTACCCCGGGCCATCTCGGGGGAGGGTGTACCCGGGCCATCTCGGGGGAGGGGTGTACCCCGGGCCGTCTCGGGGGAGGGTGTACCCCGGGCCATCTCGGGGGAGGGTGTCTGCCGGGCCGTCTCGGGGGAGGGTGTACCCCGGGCCGTCTCGGGGGAGGGTGTCTGCCGGGCCGTCTCGGGGGAGGGTGTACCCCGGGCCGTCTCGGGGGAGGGTGTCTGCCGGGCCGTCTCGGGGGAGGGTGTACCCCGGGCCGTCTCGGGGGAGGGTGTACCCCGGGCCGTCTCGGGGGAGGGTGTACCCCGGGCCGTCTCGGGGGAGGGTGTACCCCGGGCCGTCTCGGGGGAGGGTGTACCCGGCCGTCTCGGTCCCCGGCCGTCTCGGGGGAGGGTGTCCCCCGGGCCGTCTTTGGTGCTTGGGTCTGATGACCGACTCTCGGCTCGTGGTGGGGCCGAGATGTGGGAAGTTTTAGGTGCTGTTTTAGTCTAGAGGATTGGTAACGGAACTGAGTCTGTGTATACTTGCATATCGTTGTATCGTTGACATAAACAGAGAAATGATGCTTGAAAAGAGAGGCACACTGTCTCTTCAATAAAACGCTGAAAGCATGTTGGACTCTAATGCCAGCTACGCTTGATGTATAAAGCTAGTCGAGAGTGGTGAACTGAAACCAGCCAGGTATTGATTTAACCTGTTCTGCCCTCCATGTTTAAAACTTACATAGAGTGGTGCGTAGATGATGCTAAGTACCACTGGGCTCATATGTTTTTTGAAAGTGTTTTAAACGCAGTGATGCCCACTGCCAACTGACACTGACCGCCTGCGTTTGACGCCGGCCAACTGTTTCCTTTCCGAATCCTGTGCCACTTTTCCCTGAAAAATCTTATTAAAATACGCAACAGAGCCTGAAACCGATGTTGTGCTGAATGGAATGCTATGGACGACAGACGCTCCCCTGCCTGTAAGCGATCTTTGAGATGTGACGTGATGACCAGGCACAAATAACCGCGTATCCCACTTTCGTAGACGGCTTCAGCGCCCGAGAACGCACATTTGACCGGCGTCCTGTCCCCCAGGAAAGTGCATCTGCCGGGACAACACGGCTGGGGACAACTGTGAGCTGTGCGCCCGCGGGTTCTACGGCAACGCGCTGGGTGGCGAGCCGGACGACTGCAAGCCGTGTCCGTGCCCGGGCCAGGGCGCCTGCATTGAGCTGTACGAGGACACGGTCGCCTGCCTCGAGTGTCCCACCGGATACACCGGTCAGTGGGGCCGGCCGGGCGCCGTCGGACCAGCCTCGGATAGCAGAGGCTGGGGTGGCTGGGTTTGGGATTCTCGATACAGAAGGGCAGGCTGGGTTTTGTGGATTCGAAAGGCGATACGTTGACGTCTATGAGCAGTGGTAGGATAATTTCACCTCCCACTGTCGTAGCGGAAATATTGAGTGGTAAGAATGCATGTCCTTTCCAGTGAACGATCACAAACAGCGATCTATTTATGTTGCGCTTAGCTTGCCGCTTGTCGCGCATAACTGTAGCCCCGTTTGTCGTTGTCCTCGCACTTGACGAGTTCGGAGATATGACTGTGGGCAGTAGCATGGCCAGAGGGGGTCAGCTCTCTGGTGGCCGCTCCTGCCGTCTGGCCGCCGTCTGCATCGCGCGCACCGTGTGGTGACGGCGTGCCGCCCGCGTTCAGGTCACAAGTGCGACATCTGCATCGACGGCTGGTTCGGCGAGCCCGACAACGAGATGCCGTGCCGAGAGTGCGACTGCAACGGCAACGTTGACCCCAACGCCGTCGGCAACTGCAACCGCACCAGCGGCGAGTGCCTCAAGTGCATCCACGACACGGCCGGCTTCAGCTGCGACCGCTGCCTGCCGGGTAAGTGTCGGTGATGCGTCTCACCCCCTCCCCGACTGCCGCGGAACCTCTGGCGACCGCTGCCTGCCGGGTAAGTGCCGGTGATGCGTCTCTCCCCCTCCCCGACTGCCGCGGAACCTCTGGCGACCGCTGCCTGCCGGGTAAGTGCTGGTGATGCGTCTCTCCCCTCTCCGACTGCTGCGGGACGTCCGGCGACCGCTGCCTGCCGGGTAAGTGCCGGTGATGCGTCTCACCCCCTCCCCGACTGCCGCGGAACCTCTGGCGACCGCTGCCTGCCGGGTAAGTGCCGGTGATGCGTCTCTCCCCTCTCCGACTGCTGCGGGACGTCCGGCGACCGCTGCCTGCCGGGTAAGTGCCGGTGATGCGTCTCTCCCCCTCCCCGACTGCCGCGGAACCTCTGGCGACCGCTGCCTGCCGGGTAAGTGCTGGTGATGCGTCTCTCCCCTTTCCGACTGCTGCGGGACGTCCGGCGACCGCTGCCTGCCGGGTAAGTGCCGGTGATGCGTCTCTCCCCCTCCCCGACTGCCGCGGAACCTCGGGCGACCGCTGCCTGCCGGATAAGTGCCGGTGATGCGTCTCTCCCCCTCCCCGACTGCTGCGGATCCTCTGGCGGCCTCTCCCGGTCGGATGAGTGCCGGTGATGCGGCTCGCCCCCTCCCCGACTGCCGCGGAACCTCCGGTGGCCTCTCCGGGACGTTACAGAGCAGCGGTGACCAGGGACGGCGACAACAGTTTTTAATAGGGGGGGGGGGGGGGCGAAGTCGTAAAATCATCAGAACAATTGGGATGACAAAATGGATGACAAATCATGCGTTTAGCTGGCATTTTCATAAATGATCATTGCTATGCAAACTCCTCACGTGTCTTGCGCTGCACCACCGCAAGGCAAGGGGCGCGAGACCGGGGATGGAGGCAGGGACTGAGACCCACAATTTTCCGAAAATTTAACATTGACCTGGCGGGTGTTGACTGGAGAGAGTTGACCTAACGGCCATCATCCTCTTCCCTCCCAAAGTGGAAGGCCGTCCGTTGCACCATACCGGCAGGGATTGTTTTATTGCAGTATGCTGACTTTCCAGCGCAGCGCAGGGTATCATCTGAGCCAATTGGGCATATAATGTACTGCAGTTTTAAGGCGTGTATGTACTTTGCAACAGGCTTCGCTGGGTAATGTTTTCATGCCTATTTACCTCACAGCCACGGTAAGGCTTGAACGCCGGTTTCAAAAGGTCAGGTGACGTCAGAGAGCGGGACGGACCGTGCCGAGCATTGCGACACGTTAAACTTTCGCCGCTAAATTCGGCCGTTGCCTGGATTTGCGCGATCGAATGGTAGAGGTCAGGGCTCACACAAGTACTGATTAGCACGAGCTCTGATCCCAGAAATCCATTCAGTTAGAAGGCTCGCATTTAGGCGGCAAGGCTCTTTTAAAATGTTATTTAAAAACTTAGATTATGTTTTTTTTAAGTTTCGGGAAACGAAAGATATTAAACCTGTTACGATGTGTTTAATTGGAATGTATAAAACACACCGATCTGGTCACTCAGAGGCAATGTTCTAACTTGTAAAGCTGGCTCCTGGCAACTCGGCCAGGCACTGCCGGGATATTCGCTGAAAACCACTGCGTTGCGAGTTAACCCATAGCCATCAGCCATAGCCATAGCCATAGCTATCAAAGCCATTTAGCTGCATAGAATGCTTAAATAAAAAATTGACCAATAAATGATCATGTCTGCATATATCGGACGCTCCTGTAATATTCACCGAATCTCTCCGTGCCTAAACAAGTGATCAGAGCTCTAATTTTTGGGCTTTGACCTCAGGCTGACCTCGGCTGGCGCAGTTACCTGCTTGGAACTTCAAATGATTCCCCTGGTGCAAACGAGAAACATAAAAGGCTACTACTACAGATTTTAAGTCGCTCCGTTGCGCCACTTTTTTATAAGCCCTGGAAACATGACGAGCAATAATTTCTATAACCACTGACTAGTTTGGCTAGTCTGACTGGACCCCGTCTTCAATTCAACTAGAAACATAATCATACCAAAAACCACTGAAAGGCGATTTTTTCCAAAAATATAGTTGTACCATATTAAAATATAGTTATAATAGAGCCACAGTACACTCCAGTCCGTTTAGTCAGTCCTTCCAGTCCCTCTAGTACGGTGATGGGTAAAGAAGATATTGTATAATGACGCTATCATTCAAGGCACGTATATTTGGAATGTTTCAAGCTGCACATTGAACAGACAGGATACGCAAAATTGCACGGCTGAGTCTATTTGCGTTCTAATGCTCCCGCAAAAACACGACAGTGAAAGGACGATGAAAGGTGATTTGCATTGACGCGAGCGTAAGTAAACAGTAGCTGTACCTAGGGATTTAAGGACATAGCATCGCAGTGCGTAGGTACACTTAAATTCGTTGACCACTTTTCACCTTTCCCTTCAAAAATGTCTGATATACATAGGTTGCAGGCAGGTGATGCTCCAGTCACCTCGTAATCCAGCTTTAAACTCTAGGCACGGAGGCAACGTCATTGAATGTGCTCTGCCAGTATAGGAGAAAATACCCAAGCGGCCTTTTGGAGTCCTAGCAGCATCGTGCTGGTATTTCTAGCAATGCCGTCCCATCGATGTGAGGGAACTTAATTGCGGAAAAGCTGCTGGCAGGGGCCCCTTAGTGAAAGCCTGTGCAAAAAATAGATCTTATATTGCAAGAAGGGTGTCAGGATAGGGCCACCGCCCGCTCCCATCCAATGGTAGAGGGAACGTGTCCCCCCCCCCCCCCTCCTTAGCGCCGCCCCTGGCGATGGCGATGGAGCTGTTGGTCATGAGAACACGGCTGGTAAATAGGCGAATTAGTCTGCAGTTCGTTTTAAGGCCGCGGCCCAGGCCGTAAGGCTGGCGTCGTCACGTGCGCTACTAATACGGTTTGTTGCTAACATCTTTTAGTGCAGTGTTAAGTACCGGCTGGCGCTCTTTTGTTACGGCAGCGGCGTCCCACCGCCGACCGCGCCACTATCAGCACCACACGCAGCTGCTGAGTGCAAACTGGACCAGTTCCGACTTCTTATGCAGTTCTCCAGGCCTTTCCGGCGTGCAAAGCCTGCCGGACCGCGGCTGTACCACTAGGGCCAGGCGTCGGCCCCCTTTTCCGGCGTCCAAAGCCTGCCGGACCGCGGGCTGTGCCACTAGGGTCAGGCGTCGGCCCCCTTTTCCGGCGTCCAAAGCCTGCCGGACCGCGGGCTGTGCCACTAGGGCCAGGCGTCGGCCCCCTTTTCCGGCGTCCAAAGCCTGCCGGACCGCGGGCTGTGCCACTAGGGCCAGGCGTCGGCCCCCTTTTCCCACCATCCAAACACAGCGCCCTGATAACACAAAACACAACTCGACTCAACCCTCAGCTCAGGGCGTCGATTAGGCTGACTTATCGCCCAGTTATTTTCGGCTAAAACCGCGGAACCAGGCCTGATGCACACCTGGCTGGACGAGACAGTGCTCGCCACGCTGAGTGCCCACAGAGTACCCAGTTTGCTGTCGCTCACTGTAGTAACCAGATCACCAATGCTTCAGCTACCTACTAAGCGAATATATCTGCGGCTCACCCGTGTCTGGTACGTCAGCGTGCTTAGTTCACGGATGACAAAGCGTCTCGGCGACGCGCCGCGCCGGCTCAGCGTTGCCAAGCGCCTTGACGACGCTCCGCCGGGGCCGCGGCGACCGGTTTGGCGGCGGGACCTTGCTCGGCGTACTCCGCCGCCTTATTTGGAGCCCTTCATTTGCGGCTGGCGTTAGTATGCGGCGCGTAGGGATACGCCATCTCATGCATGGCGCCGCCCCCGACCCGATCGGTTCCGCTTCCGCCGGCCGGTCACGTGGGCGACGGCAGTCAGCCTCGGCCGTCGCCGCCGGCCGCAGACACGACCGGTCCCGGCTGGTACGGAAGGGGACGGGGCCCCCGCCGCACAGATGGTGAGGACGTCACGTGACCAGACAAAGGTGCACGTAACGGTCACGCAGTCGCGCACCTGTGATCAGGCAATAAAGGCGAAGTTACAAATTAAGCAGTTGTTTTTAATGCGCTTGGCAGCGCACGAACATAATGAACTTCGTTGTGTTGTCATTCTCCGATGAATGAAATTAAATAAATAAGATTGCTCTGCTTCTGGCCTTTATGTTATGCGCTGAGTGGTATCAGACCGGTACAGAGACATTTTTTCGTGATCACAAGTGTGCCATTCTTCGGTTTTCACGGACCACCACAGTGATTTTTTTATACGCGTTTTAAGAACTAGCGCATTGCCATTATTTACGTGCTTTGGAGAGCTCAACTGATGACAGATACAAACTCTTTAATTGCATTCCTAATATCAGTGGGTGGTTCAGGAATCTCCTAAAAATCGTCGAGGCGATAGCTTGAGCCTGCCCTCAAAAGATACTGTGATAAATTCCCAATGGTCTGTATGCTCTCAACTACATTCTTTGCACAGGACCTAAATTATGCGCAGCATCGCAGGAGTATATGATAGGAACGTATCGCGGGCGCGATAAAAAAGGAGGCACGTAGTCCGACACTCACGGCCCACGCCGGCGGATTGTGCCATCCGCTCAGATAAAGCCGACTAAAATCTGTGTGTGGGATGGCACTTTACGCTCCGCGCCAGTCCGCGAAACCCGGTTTTGAAAAAATTGAAATAAGAAATTAGGATTTGGGTTTTGTTTTTGAAGGTCACGAAACCTGTTTCGTGGAAACCACGAAACTGGGTTTCGTGGTAAAACATAACCAACACGTCGGTGCGATGTGCACCCGGTGTGGTGGGACCGCCGTCTCTTCATGCGGTACCTAGTGAGCTACCGTTACGCGACAATGGCTGAACAGGAAGCGAAAAGAGAACATAAGAGTTGAGTTGTCCTCCCGTGATCAACTAATGCCATTTGAGGTCAGCTCTACATGCACAATTAAAACGGTCAAATAAACCGATCTCGCCTTTCTGCTGTGAGAGCGTGACCTCTGCACAAACACGGAATGCCAGTCCCAGTCGACATGGCCACCTCGCGTGTCCCCAGGCTACTTCGGCGACCCTCTGGCGCTACCCAAGGGTGACTGCCGCACTTGCGGATGTAACCCGGTGGGCACCATGCAGCTGGAGGATGAGCCGGAGGGGCCGTACCTCTGCGACCAGCTGTCCGGACAGTGCCAGTGCAAGGCGTTCGTGGCCGGCGAGAAGTGCGAACGCTGCGTGAACGGCTACTGGAACATCCTCAGCGGCCAGGTGGGCGGGGGTGGCACGGGCGGCCGGCAGCCTCCCCGAGGCGGCTGCCCCCAATCGCGTTATCTGTATTGCATCACTTGTGTTGCCGAAATTTTGTCGTTGTTTTGGTCGTGGTCATTCATTTCATGTTGTTTCTGAGAGCGTTTGCTTTGTGGCGTTGGGTATCACCCGTTTTTCAACACTACTAGCTGGCCGTAGTTATCTTCACACTACCTGCTTAGCTAGCTTACTTTACCTTTGTTTTTACCCGCCCAAATTAGTGTATGTGACTGCGTTGGTCCCTGGCCTAACTTGACCTAACCCCCGGCTGCCAGGGCAGTGATGAGCGCAGCTGTGGACCGGTCTGCGTGTGACCGGACACGATCTGACCCAACCTAACCTAACTTGAATTGACCTGACATATCGCTCTCAAAACTATGAGTGCGGATGTGATTCGGTATGTGTCTGACCTGACCTGGCATTCAATCGCCAAAGTGAACACAGCCGTCCAGTCTGTTTTTGGTCCGACCTGGCTTGATCGGCTTGACTTGACCTTGGTAACCCTGCCTGTCGTCAGGGCTTGTCCGACCTGACCTGACCTGACCTGACGTGACCTGATATGACATGATGTTTACGCTTCAAAGTTGCTAGGAGTTCGACTGTCTCCTGGTCTGTTTGGCTGTTTCCCGGTCTGTGTTTGACCTGACCTGACCTGACCTGCCGCCAGGATTGCAGGGAGTGTCTTCTGGTCTGTATCTGACTGGACCTGACACGACTTGCTCGCCTGACCTCCCGTTGTTAAGTTCGCGATGAAGACGGATGTGATGCGGCCCGTGCCTGACCTGACCCGACCTGACCGCCCGTCGCCAGGGCTGCGAGGAGTGCGACTGCGACCCGGTCGGCTCGTTCAACACCAGCTGCGACATCAGCAGCGGCCAGTGCTTCTGCCGAGAGGGCGTGGTGGGCCGCAAGTGTGACCAGTGCGCCGTCAACATGTTCGGCTTCTCGCGCGAGGGCTGCCTGCCGTGCACCTGCGACCCGATCGGCTCCCTGGAGCTGCAGTGCGCCCCCGATGGCCAGTGCCCGGTATGTGGCAGACCACCCAGCGCGGCCGCGTGCGCCGGCTCGGCGGCCGGCCCCGGTGCTCCGCCCTAGTTAGGAGAGAAGCATGTTGCTTGCTTGCCCCGCTGCTCCTGCACCGTCCCTCCCGGCAGAGCCAATTAGCTGAAACAAAAGAAAGGCGCCAAAGGTAATCATTGGCTGTGCTGTTCATGCAGTGTTATTTGCGCTGCGAAATGACGGCACCTAATTTGGATCGTTTAAGATATAGGGTCGTCAGATAGTCAGGGCCTCGGGAATGCGGTTTATGCTTACCTTGGGATCTTGGGGTGTCGGCAAGATTGCCCTATCCGAGAAGATCGGTATGTTTGCAATGCTGTCATTCCGTCGGCTGTGCGTCAAGTGGCCGACATTGCGCGACCTTGATGCACTTTCCTCCCAGCCCAGCAAATCGGCTCTTGAGTGGGGATCGCGGACTTTATGACAGATACAGCTTCGCAATGCTGGGGGCATAGCCAGCGCGCTCTTCTGGGTCGAGGTCATAGCGATAATGGTTCTGCGGGATTCGCGCGCCCCCTCAGCCGCGCCAGGTGTTGTGTGTTACGCCCCGACTGCCTGAACCGCCCCCACGCCGAGATATCACACGAGTTATGGAGAGTGGGAACCGGTTAGAGCCGACCGCTCCGGCCACGAGGTGGCCCGGGCCGCTCAGTGGGCTGGGAGACCCCCCCCCCGTCCACCGGCCACACACTCAGTGGGCTGGATGACCCCCGTCCACCGTCCACCGGCCACACACTCAGCGGGCTGAGAGACCACCCCATCCACCGGCCACACACTCAGCGGGCTGAGAGACCACCCTGTCCACCGGCCACACACTCAGTGGGATGAGAGACCCCTGTCCACCGGCCACACACTCAGTGGGCTGGGAGACCCCCGTCCACCGGCCACACACTCAGTGGGCTGGGAGACCCCCGTCCACGGGCCACACACCCAGTGTGCTGGGAGACCCCCATCCACCGGCCAACACCCAGTGGGGTGGGAGACCCCCGTCCACCGGCCACACGCTCAGTGTGCTGGGAGACCCCCATCCACCGGCCACACACTCAGCGGGCTGAGAGACCACCCCGTCCACCGGCCACACACTCAGTGGGCTGGGAGACCCCCGTCCACCGGCCACACACTCGTGTGCTGGAAGACCCCCGTCCACCGGCCACACACTCAGTGGGCTGGGAGACCCTCCCCCCCCCGTCCACCGGCCACGCGCTGACCGTCACTGCAGACTGCGGTGCGCCCGCGTGGCTCGTGCCTTTAGAGACCGTTGCGAGCTGGAAAGATTGCATGTCACCCATGTTTTGTGTTCAATGCGCTGGGACAGCACTTCAGCACCACACGAGAAACGAACGTTGCTGCGAAATGAAATTAAGATGCGATAAGTTTCAGCTCCCGGTAAAGCGTGTTCATTTTCAACAGTTCAGTTGAATTTCAAATGCCGCCACGTTACGCAGGAAAGTTGAACAACAACTTTTGCCTGGACAGAATTCACTGTGCGCATGCCACACCAACAGCAGTACATTGGCTGACCTTCCTTTACCTTGCAGTGCCGAGAGAACGTCGAGGGGATACACTGTGACCGCTGCAAGGAGAACAAGTATGACCGCCAGGCCGGCTGCCGAGGTAGGTCCCTGGGGGCATCCACACACTGCATGCGATCACGCCGCAGTAACCATGCCACCGTCGGGCACCCAGGCGCAGAGACTGGGCTGTCGGTGCTGCAGGTGGACGCCGAAGCGAGCCCCGTGAGGCTGGAATCGACTGTAGCTGGTTACTGGTTGAGAGCCGTTTCCTCGGCTGGCACCGCATCAGTTCGTCTGTCCAGCTGAGATGTGTCTCGATCGCAGGAGTGCCAGGTCGGTGAGCCGGGCCAGACGCCGGGATCAGACACGGGTCTGGCGGCCGCGAAGGGCAGCTGAAGGGCACTCGACTCGTAATAGTCTGGGTGCTAAGTTGATGTTGGTTGATCACAACACCCGCGGTGTTGTTAGTACTTCCCTGCGCTTTAAATTTTGTTATGGGAGGCATTTTACAGTAGTTCACGAATTTGCCGCAAAGATATCCAGTGAAAACGAGTAGAACTTATGAACCCTACCCGGGTGCGTGCATTTCACCCCATTCCTGGCGATTACCTGGCTTCACGGCCCTGTTCAGTTACAAAAAGCCGACGCAGCCGGTGCCGTGGCGCAGGCGCCGTGTGGCGCCGTGAGACGAACGGGGCTGTGTATCAGATGCCGGTCCGTCTCCCAGTCTCCTCTTCCGGCGCCCGCTGAATGGCGGCGGCCGTCGGGGCCGGGCGTTTGTCAGGCTTCTGTATTGAAAGGCTATCGGCTAATCGGCCAACAATGCCACCTCTGCCGGGCGGCGTGGGCGCCAGCTGTCGGGCAGCCCCGGCTCGGAGCCAGGTCCGTCTGGGGCCGGCCGGCAGACGCGTGGCCGAGCTCGACACAAGGCTCGCCTCGGCCGGGGGACGAGGCAGGGCGCGTCCCCCAGGGCCAGATGTCTGGCCACGGCCACCTCTCGTGGGATCGCCCGCGCAGTCCGGGGGCTGCATATCGGGCGGCTGAGTGATGGCTGATGTGTAATCCACAGTCGTCTAACGCCCATCAGTCGTCTTAGCGGCGGGTATTTCCCACAACCTGTGAGAGCAGACTCCAGCTGGTTGAATGAATACAGAGATGAGGCTGCGTTCTATCAATCGATGCCATCAGACAACCATCTGTTGATGATGTGCACACGCCCCCGGACGCCTCCGAGTCCAGAAGATTGCAGCCCGCTGGTCAGATACGAAGATGTGTCGCATGATGGGGAGCCGTGTCCTGCCCCGTCGTGCAGTGCCGTAGCGCACCGTGACAAGGTGGCGGGCCCAGGCAGACATGACATACGGTCACGTGGTGCGCTGTGCCATGTCGAGCCCGCTGAGCTGGCGGCGCGACTCGCCGCCGCAGCCGCCGTGTGGATCCAATAACGTCAGATATCGGGCACACATGAGTCAGCCATGGCGGCCGCGATAAAAAGGCAGCAGTCGGTCGGCAACGTGACCGGCGCGAAATGCGAGCCGTCCCGCCCGGCCTCGGTCCAGTGTCGGCCCTGGCCCGGCCCGGACCTCGGTCCATTGTCCCGGCCCGGCCCGAACCTCGGTCCAATATCGGCCCCGGCCCGGCCCGGACCCGGCCCGGACCTCGGTCCAGTGTCGGCCCTGGCCCGGCCCGGACATCAGTCCAGTGTCCCGGCCAGGCCCGGCCCGGACCGGACCTCGGTCCAGTGTCGGCCCCGGCCTGGCCCGGACCTCGGTCCATTGTCGGCCCCCGGCCCGGCACGGACCTCGGTCCAGTGTCGGCCCTAGCCCGGCCCGGACCTCGGTCCAGTGTCCCGGCCAGGCCCGGCCCGGACCGGACCTCGGTCCAGTGTCCCGGCCAGGCCCGGCCCGGACCGGACCTCGGTCCAGTGTCCTGGCCCTGGCCCGGCCCGGACCTCGGTCCAGTGTCCCGGCCCGGCCCGGACCTCGGTCCAGTGTCCCGGCCAGGCCCGGCCCGGCCCGGACCTCGGTCCAGTGTCGGCCCTAGCGCGGCCCGGACCTCGCACCAATGTCGGCCCCGGCCCGGCCCGGACCTCGCACCAGTGTCGGCCCTGGCGCGGCCCGGACCTCGCACCATTGTCGGCCCTGGTGCGGCCCGGACCTCGCACCAGTGTCGGCCCCGGCCCGGCCCGGACCTCGCACCATTGTCGGCCCTGGCCCGGCCCGGCCCGGACCTCGCACCATTGTCGGCCCTGGCGCGGCCCGGACCTCGCACCAGTGTCGGCCCCGGCCCGGCCCGGACCTCGCACCATTGTCGGCCCTGGCCCGGCCCGGCCCGGACCTCGCACCATTGTCGGCCCTGGCGCGGCCCGGACCTCGCACCATTGTCGGCCCTGGCCCGGCCCGGACCTCGCACCAGTGTCGGCCCTGGCCCGGCCCGGACCTCGCACCAGTGTCGGCCCTGGCCCGGCCCGGCCCGGATGGGGCCGCGTGACGGCAGGCCTGACGTCAGCGGCCGGCGCGCCCTCCGCCGGTGATAGGATCGGGCGCCGCCCGACGCAGGCGGCGCGCACGGCTGCCGTCTCGCGGCCCCTCCAGACGGCACCGCTGCACGCCGCGCCCCACTCGGGCCCGCTCAAGGTGAGCCGAGCGGCTGTCGGCCGCCGCCGCCGCCGGTCGGGGTCGGCGAGCCGCGAGCCTCCGACCGTAGCGTCTGTCGGCGGACGGCAGGACTGCTGGTGCCCTGTGAGGACAGCGTTCGCCACCTGAGTCTGGGCGGGCAGCGGCGGTGCTGGGCCGGCAGGGATGTGACACTGGACAGGTGTCCATGGCGTGGTCCGGCGAAGGAGACGTGCATGGCCGATGGCGTACACTGCCGTGGCTGGCGCCTATCTGGGGCCGGCAGCACAAATGTCGTGTATGGTGGCATTTGTGCAGAGCTGCAATTTGTCGGAAGTGATGCGATGCTGGCCTTTGGCTGTCCGATGCTCCCGATGAAGAACGGCTTTTGACGTCGCGTCACAAAGACTCCCACACTTCTGCTACAGTGCAGGTGTCTGCAGTGTTTCGTGGGTATTTCTCGTCAGATGGCGTGCCCCTGGACGGCGGGCCATCGGCTACGGCCCGTGCAGGGACAGGGCGTCGTCGGGAGGGGGCGGGGCGGGGGGCGGGCCCGCACGCCGCCTGGCGGAAGGACCGCCGACCGCCGGCGCCGGCGCCGGCCGGGCGCCAGTCGTCACGGTGCGTGTGCGGCAGTGAGAGCGGTGAGCGGTGAGCGGTGAGCGGCGCCGGTGCGGCCCGCGAGCGAGCCCTGTGTCAACCGCGGCGCGCGAGCGAGGCCCTCGGACCGGGGACGCGGCGGGAATCAGTGAGCGGTGCCCAGGGACGCCTACGACGCCTGTCCGCCGGCCTGTCACATTAACTGATGTAGCCGTCAGTTCGACCTGACGGGAATGTGGAGCATTTTATTGGGACGGGGAGAATGCGTCGTTTAGGCGGCCGGGAAACCAGTCATGGGATTAAGCGAGCTTCAGAACGCTTTGGATCACTGATGGACCGCCAGGAATCTGATCGAATTAACACGGGCTCATTGAATGACATTTTAGAGCCAGTCTCAAAACCAAGGGCCAAGTCAGTCTCAAAGGTAGCCTCCACCGCGGACGATAATTACGCATTGTGAATTGAATAGAAAGGGAAGTAACTTCTGGAGGGCTCTTCTTTATTCCCTAAGCATCTGATCGGATTGAGTTGGATGTTGCTCGGAACGTCACACCGGCATCACGAGGTGAAAGCGTATGAGAAATTCTACCATAGTGAGGATACTGATAGCAGTGGAAGGTGCATTAAAGCGTTGAGAGTGATTGCACAGCAGGATTTGGGATCCAATATCTTACGTCATCTGCTTGCTTTATAACTCCACGGCCATGATTCAATACCGCTCTTGCTCTGCGGTTTTCTACCTGACAATGAGAACATGAAACGTATGCCCTTTCAAAAAAGAAAACAGGTTAAAAAGCCGAATTGAAAGCTCTTGCGTTCAGTTCACCGCAGCTCGAGTGACGTGGAGCCCCTGCTCTATGGCTGGTGTATGTGCCCTGTGACGTGATATGCAGTAGCACGTCACAAACACACTGCTTCTGTCAAAGCTCTCTTGTCAGCTCACAGCCAAAGCCTGTTAGGATAATCCTATCAGCGTCATTGTCGAGCCCGCTGTATGAGCATCCGTGTATGACATTCTGGTGTATCATTTGTGCAAGCTGCTGCAGCCACTGACTACGTTTAAGACTGATGCCAAAATCATACAAGACTGCTTTGAGTTTTGCATTTGAATAAGCGACAAGGATTGCGCCAGGCAGTATGTTTCTAAAAACAAAGCGTTGACCCCGGTCATGTTTATCAATGACCTACTCTGTTCTTAAGAAGTCCGTGGAGGATGTATAATGCGGTTCCTGTAATCAATGAACTCGAAATATACACCACAAACTACCCTATACAATATGCCCCAGAGCAACAAAACAGGCCGGTTTTGACGTTGGTCTGACCTTTGTACCTGACTCTAGGTCAATGGACTTTGTTTATTCAATTGTTGCGCCGCCTAAGAAAGTATCTCAGAGGTGTCTGGCTTCGTCTAACACTCTGTTGTTTCATCAGATTGAACGGTTGCCTAGAAATTGACTTCGCTGAATGGCCGACATTGACCTGCCGTGGGGAGTAACTTGACAAGGTATATCTAAATTCTTGATACCACACGATCCGCTATTCAATCTACAGCGATTCATTACTCGGCGCGGCTACACCGTGGCGTTCGGAAAGCATTCCGGAAAAATCTTCGGGGGTCAATTTGCCCCCCACCCGAGCGCGTGCTAGATCAAGCTGCTGCTGCGGCATTAGCGTCGGCGCTCTCTAAAATTGGACCGAATCGCGGTGACTTGTTTGGTGCGGTGTGTCAAACAACTGATGATGACTGGGATACGCACCACGTTTCGTAGAGGGTCCACGCTCTGGTGGTTAGAGCATCGAGATGCGGCTCCGTGTGGCTCGCCGTGGGCTCGGCGGGGGCCGGTGTTCGGAGCCGCTTCGGGGTGAGGTGTTGGCGTGGACAAAC